TTGTTATTACAGTGGTACCTCAGGTTACATACGCTTCAGGTTACATACGCTTCAGGTTACAGACTCTGCTAACCCAGAAATAGTACCTCAGGTTAAGAACTTTGCTTCAGGATGAGAACAGAAATCGTGCTCCGGCGGCGTGGCAGCAGCAGGAGGCCACATTAGCTAAAGTGGTGCTTCAAGTTAAGAACAGTTTCAGGTTAAGAAGGGACCTCCGGAACGAATTAAGTACTTAACCCGAGGTACCACTGTATTATTATTATTATTATTATTATTATTATTATTATTATTATTATTGGAGTCCTGTCTTGGAATCATTGGGCATTTCACCTTCAATATGAAACACAAGCACCAAAACACCACAACAAAACACAATGTAGCTTCAGGTTGTATAATACCTAAAAGAGACCTCCTCCAGTAAGGCCCCCAACTTGAGCCCTACAACTTGCGATGGAGACCCTGTTGGTGGTGCCACTGCTGGCTGCTGCCAAGTTAGTGCTGATCCATGACAGGGCCTTCTCCATGTTGGCTCCCCATTTGTGGAATGCCCTCCTTGGGAAGCTGTGTCATGTCTCCTTCATTGTTAGCATTAAGGAGGAAGTGAAAACATGCCTGTTCACCCACATGTTTGATAGGCGGTCTCAGCAACCTTGAAATTATTAGCTGTGAGAGTATGTGGCCATTCCCAGGTGTTCTTAATGTTGTTGTTTTTACATGTTTTTATTTTATTTTTTATTATCTTATTTTGCTCCTTCATTGTTCGCCCCCCTGAGCTCCTTTGGGCGGAAGAACGGGATAGAAACATTAATAGCAATAATTATAGTAACAGTAATGATAATAGTAAAATCTGTGTCTTGTTTCTCAGAATCCTCAGAAGACAGTGAATCTCATTCACTGTTGGACCATTAATACTGGAAATCTTGCATAGCTGTCAACCGTCCCTTATTTGGTGGGAAACTCCCTTATCCCAGCGCCGTGTCCTGCTGCTGTCCCTTATTGATGATGTCCCTTAAATTTCCCAGGTTTCAAAGGAAGCAGCTCCTCTCCCTCCCTCTCTGCTGGCCAGGGAGGAGGGAGGCTCCAACTGTGTTGCTTGGCTACCCGCCCCGCCCCCCTCCAGCCTCCTCTCACCAACCTCAGCCCCCGGGAGCCCCTCCCCACTGGGACTGAGGAGCCTTGAGAGGAGAGCAAGGGCAACCATAGAGAAAGCAGTTCAGAGAGAGGAGGCGGAGGCGCGGGCAGGTGTTCCAAGGGCTAACCATAGAGGGGGAAAGCAGAGGAAGGACCACAAGTGCTTCTCCCATAGATTTGTAGTGGTAGACTAGCATAGATGGTCTGCTCTGCGGGTTTACTTCGGACGCTATTTCCCCCTCTCTTCCTCCCGCCCCTCCTGATGGAACTGAGAGCTGCAGTTGGAGCACGAGAGAAAAGATACAGAACTGCAGCAGCATCTTCGTAGCTTAGACTTCATTTTGCGTGAAAAGTTGTTGCTGCTTGTAGTTATTTAGTTGCAGTGTTTCATCAGCTGGTGTCTTGAGCAGCAACTTCTGGAAACGAAGGGCTAAAAACCGGCACTGCTCTCCCAAATTATCTGGTCCCTTTTAACTTTGTATTTCAGCTGGTTGACTAAAATCCCTTATTTTGGCTGCTGGTCCCTTATTTTCGAGGCTGCTGGTCCCTTATTTTCGAGGCTGCTGGTCCCTTATTTTCAAATCTGTAAGTTGACGGCTATGATCTTGTCCATGATCAGTTGGGCAGGGCTGAAGAGGAAGCTCTGTGTAAATGAAAATTAAGAAGTGCTTTGGGCTACAAACATAACCAGTAATTCCAGTGACAGCCAGTTGGAACTGCGTCAAAATCCCATTGTCGCCACAGGGCATATCCAGATTTACCTTTCTTCAGTGCTTTCCAGTCATGGGCCGCACTTTAAAGCGCCATGTCCTTTTTCTTTTTGCTTCGGAGCTTTCGCCACAAAAACCCGCTCTTTAAAGCCGAATTGGAGCCAACTGCAATTTGTGGAAAACCCAAAGTGTCAGAGTTATTTTTTTGCGCTTCAGCTTTAAAGAGCTGGTTTTTGAGGCGAAAGCTCCCAAGGCGGAATAAAGCATGCTTGAACATGGAGCTTTAAAGGGCAGGGCAGGCCTGGAAAGGACAAGATTAAAGGTAAGCCCAGAGTCTTGTTTCAATGCCTTAAAAAATATATGCATAAGCCACTCCAGGAAGTTCGCAGGACGAAAGGAAGATGGAAAAGAGAAAGAGTGGCAGCATGCCTTGGCATTTTACCAGGTCTGGAAAGGTCATGCCCACCCACTGGTCACATGCAAGGAAGAATGCTCCAGGCCAGGAGGAACAGGAAGTTTTGATTGGCTGGACCAAACATTCCCTTGCATGTCCACTCTAGCAAAACAAGGAATGTTGTGTTTGACTGCTCCCAGTGGATTACATCCCACAAATCAGTGGTAAAGTTTTCCTGGCGAAATAATAAATTATAATAAATTTTTATTTATACCCTGCCCTTCCCGGTTCAAAAACTGGGCTCAGGGCGGCTAACAACAAATTTAAAACACTTTAAAACACTTAATTATAAAAGCAGCATAAAATACAGTATAAAAACATGAATAACAATAAAATTCAAAAATCAATTAGATAATGCCCAGGGCTAGCGTCAGAGCAGTTGGAAAACTGCTCAAATCCATGCCTAAAAAGAATGGGACAAGCAGTAAACCTCCTGGACCAATGTTTTCTAGGTGCAGGACGCACGAAGTAAGGATGAGCCCTGGTTTTCAGAGGAAGAAATGTTTGGCTTGGGGAGGGAAGGTTGCAGTGATTGGTGGTGGTGATGGTTTTGCCTTCCTGCAGTTGTGGCAAAAGCACCTCTCCCTGGGGTGTGGGCAGTGATGAATCACCCGGACAAACAGTGCACCAGCCAGGTGGCAGCGGCTGGCTGGCTGACTTGTTCAGAAGATGCTCAGTGTAAAACATTTTTAGAGCAAGCTGGTTGGCAGCTGGCCAGACAACAGTCACTTCCTGGCCGGCCAGCTTGCTTTAAGGACAGCTAGGTAGTCGGCAGCTTCTCCCCTGCCCTCTGAACAAGGGGGTGCTATGAAGGGGGAAACCCACACATCCTTCAGAAATGTAACAACAACAACAAAATCTCTTTCAGCCTTCTCCCTCCCCCCCCGCCCACCTAAAACAATATGGAAGTTTTTGCCCCAAAGAATGGCAGACGAAATTAATGGACTATGCAGAATTGGACAAAATGACAGGAAGGATTCGAAACCTGCAGGACCAGAGATTTACAGAAGATTGGAAGAAGTATATGAATTATTTGAAGAGCAACTGTAATCAACAAATTACGCTAGTAGGACTACAAGAAGTTTTGTAAGGAGAAATATACGAAGTGTTACAAAGTAGAAAAAGACAGAGATATTGGTTATGAGTTTGAAATGTAATAGGGAAGATAAGAAATGCATACTGAGAGATTAGATTGGAAAATTTTCAGACAGGATTGATGGAAGTCAAAAATTTGAATAAGATGTAAAAGTATGTTTAATTACTGTTGAAAATGATAGGTTAAAAAAACTAACAAAAAATTATATATATAAAGGAAGTTTTTGCCCACCGCCTGAAAATCAAAAGGGACTAAATTCACCCTTCATGGTTTGTTTGTTTTTTGCCAGATCGTTTTTATTGATTTTCAAAATTTTACCAAACCATCCACAAATTAAAACAATTTCTCCCAAAATTGGTTTCCCGCACTCTGTTCTTGATGCGTCCAAGTTTTTCTCTCGTTGCTGTTTTATTTTCCTAGCTGTTTCTAGTTTGCATACTATTCCTTACCATTAGCCTTTTACAGTGGTACCTTGGTTTACGAACTTAATCAGTTCCGGAAGTCCATTCTTAAACCAAAGCATTCTTAAACCAAGGCGTGCTTTCCCATAGCAGCCGGGGACTTAATTTACAAATGGAACACACTTGACAGGAAGCGGTGCATGTTCTGCTTCCAAGACTAAGTTCACAAACCAAAACACCTACTTCCGTGTTTGATGCTTTCTTAATCCAAGTTGTTCATAAACTAAGCTGTTCATAAACCAAGGTACCACTGTGCTACAATAGGTTTTTTTAAAAACTTATTTTAAAAAAACTTTAAAAACTTATTTATCTTTATCCATCAGCTTACCAATTCTTGCAAGTACAATATTTTAAGATTTGCAATATCTACAAAGTGAAGTTGCTCCCCAGATTATCAAATCCACAATAAATCAGTAATTATCATTTCTGAAATAAATCCTTTTCCTTCCTTCTTCATGTATGAAACCCAACAGTTCACCATTTGTCATTCCCCTCCCCTGAATTTGATGGATCAGCTGATCAATGGTCACATGATTTCCCAATGAAACTGTTCCCTTCCCTTTCCGTAAGGATACTGTAGCCTGCCATCCAGTGCCTCATGTATCATTATTCTCAAGATTATTGTAGTGGGTTTATATATATATATCTTGTCCACCCTTTACCATAAGGTCCCAGGATGGGCTACAAGCGTGAAAGGCCAGGGTGATTTGTTTCTTTTGACAATAAGTCCTCAAAAGTATTTGTAAAGGCAACTGACAACTGTTAAAACATGCTATTCATGTAAAAGTGTGTGTGTATATATAGGTAAAGGTAAAGGGACCCCAGACCATTAGGTCCAGTAGTGGCCGACTCTGGGGTTGTGGCACTCATCTCGCTTTATTGGCCGAGGGAGCCGGCGTACAGCTTCCGGGTCATGTGGCCAGCATGACTAAGCCGCTTCTGGCAAACCTGAGCAGCGTACGGAAACGCCGTTTACCTTCCCACTGGAGCGGTACCTATTTATCTACTTGCACTCTGACATGCTTTCAAACTGCTAGGCTGGCAGGAGCAGGGACTGAGCAACGGGAGCTCACCCCGTCCCGGGGATTCGAACCACCGACCTTCTGAGTGGCAAGTCCTAGGCTCTGTGGTTTAACCCACAGCACCACTCTGTCCCTGTGTGTGTGTGTGTGTGTGTGTGTGTGTATACACACACACACACACACACACACACACACAGCATGCTATCCATTTTATTGTAAAGTAGTGACTAGAGGAGGAATGAGCGCTGGGAGGAGCACAGAGAGAAGAAACGCCATGGTGTGCCTTTAGCGGCAGAATCGGACACCTCCACCTGCCCCAGCTGCAACCAAACATGTCTCTCCCATATCGGTCTCTACAGCCACAGCAGGCGCTGTAACTCTCCAATGCTTTGATTTCACCCCCAAACACACATTCTCCATCGTCTCCCAAGACAGATGGATGCCAACAAAGCAACAATTCATTTTGCCATAAAGTTTACAAGATTAGGGGCTGTAAGCAACATTAGTCCTGCTCAGAGTAAACTCATTGCAATTAACGAACACAACTAACTTATGTCCACTAATTTCTACTTTGATCCAAGTTTGATACAACCCTGCGTATGTGTTGCACTCTGAACAAGCGAAAGCGATGAAAATTAGATATTATTATTATTTTCCTTCTTATAAGCTCAGGGTATTTTCTGATTTACATATGGCATTAGGAAGAGACCATCACAAATAGGATATAGGTGACTGTGAACTTAAATATTTTGGAGAAGCTTAAGCAGGGGGTGTTGTTCATACAAAAAAAAAAAAGTTGCCCTATTTGGAGCAAGGGATAAATTCTCCCCGCCTTACCACAACCAGTCTACTGAACCTGGATTTTGTGGTTCTTTTACTTTTGTCTCCTTTCTAGTGAACAATTTGCTCCTGGATTTCTTCCTTCGGCACTTTGTGGACTAGATTGCATGGGTCAATCCCATCAATGGCCTTTGGTCATTTCCATTCTTGGTGGGCTAGACTGGCAAGCAGGATCAAACCTTTGGGAGGTGGAAGGCTCAGGTGCAGAAGAATTCTCTACCTTTTCCTTAAGCATCCCCATTCAGTGGAACTTTGAGCTATCCCTTTCCTTTGAGCTATTCCAACACTGAGATTTCCACTAATGTCAATAAAAAAGAAGAAGCCAATTTTTTGTTTTGGAGTACGTATGAAAAAGAAAATAAAAGCCCCAACATTAATCTCTCATGTACAGGGACATTTTTTTTATTATTTTCCCTTTTTCCTGTCACATTTTCTCATGGAGTTCTTTCTTTCTTTCTTTCTTTCTTTCTTTCTTTCTTTCTTTCTTTCTTTCTCTCCTTCCTTCCTTCCTTCCTTCCTTCCTTCCTTCCTTCCTCCCTCCCTTCCTTCCTTCCTTCCTTCCTTCCTTTGCCTTCCTTCCTTCCTTTCTTCCTTCCTTCCTTCCTTCCCTTTCTTCCTTCCTTCCTTTCCTTCCCTTCTCCTTCCTTCCTTCTTTCTTTCTTTCCTTCCTTCTTCCTGGACTTCTTTCTCTTTCTTTCTTTCTTCCTTCCTTCCTTCCTTCCTTCCTTCCTTCCTTCCTTCCTTCCTTTCTTCTTTCTTTCTTTCTTCTTTCTTTCTCTCTCCTTCCTTCCTTCCTTCCTTCCTTCCTTCCTTCCTTCCTTCCTTCCTTCCTTTCTTTCTCCTTCTCCTTCTCCTTCTCCTCCTCCTCCTCCTCCTCCTCCTCCTCCTCCTCCTCCTTCCTTCCTTCCTTCCTTCCTTCCTTCCTTCCTTCCTTCCATCCATCTTTCTGTCTTTCATCCTGTTCACTTGTCTGTCCTCTTTCATTTGCCGTCTCCATCCCAGATGATTCTCTCACTCCCTCTCCCCCTCTCTGTCCTGCCTGCCTCTGCCTGCCTGCCTTTCTTCCTCAGCCTCATTTTCCACCCTGCACCTTGCCCTCCCCTAGCTGTGGTGCAGCAGCCAAGTCTGAAACAGGACGCCTCCCCGAGAAGCTGGGATGTTTTCAGAGGTCACCGCGGGGTTAACAGGTGTGAGTCCAGACAAAAGGCCATTTCATAAGTCTTTGAAGGGAATGAATTATTTAAGTGCCAACACATTTAATAGGCTAATGCAAGCAGATATCTCACCTGCTCCCGAAAATGGCAGAACAGACCCACCTCTGCACAGAACGTCAGATTCAAATGGTGCAACTCACCTTTCCAGAGTTTCTCTTTCCTTCCCCCCCATATGCAGGTGAAGGTGTTCATCTGGTCCGTCCACCACCAGGCATTCTAATTCCAAGTCAATTCTCCAAGGCTCAGCACATATTTGGCCAAAATGGCAACAGCCGCACACAGTTTGCCCGGCAATAAAACTGTCAGCACATTTGCAAAGCTAAGCAGGGTCTGATGTGGTTTCAAATTGGATGGGGAACCACTTGTACCTACTGGACTGCCTCTCCTGGTATGCCTCGCGGAGGAACTTAGGTAAAGGTAAAGGGACCCCTGACCATTAGGTCCAGTCGTGGCCGACTCTGGGGTTGTGGCGCTCATCTCACTTTACTGGCCGTGGGAGCCGGCGTACAGCTTTTGGGTCATGTGGCCAGCATGACTAAGCCGCTTCTGGCGAACCAGAGCAGTGCACGGAAACGCCGTTTACCTTCCCGTTGGAGTGGTACCTATTCATCTACTTGCACTTTGATGTGCTTTTGAACTGCTAGGTTAGCAGGAGCTGGGACTGAGCAACGGGAGCTCACCCTGTCATGGGGATTCAAACCACCGACCTTCTGATCGGCAAGTCCTAGGCTCTGTGGTTTAACCACAGCGCCACCCGTGTCCCTGCAGAGGACCTTAAGGTCCACAAATAACAACACTTTGGAGGTCCCAAGCCACAAGGTGGTTAGATTGGTCTCAACTAAGGCCAGGGCCTTTTCAGTACTGGCCCCAACTTGGTGGAACGCTCTGTCACAAGAGACTAGGGCCCTGCGGGACTTGACATCTTTCCGCAGGGCCTGCAAGACGGAGCTGTTCTGCCTGGCCTTTGGTTTGGACTCAGTCTGACCCTTATGTTTCCCTCCCCTTATGGTTTTGATTTATGTGCCTCTTTTTCTCATAATCTATAAGGGGCACACTGTATTAGGCAGTGTCATTTTAGGGGGTAAAGCTTAATCTTTGCAAATTTCTTCATTGAAGGGTCCTTAGAATAAATTTTAGGGTGAGAGAAATTCAAATCTGCAATTATTTTTTGCGACTGGACAACATTTTGCTTGGTAAGCCTGTGTTTAATGAAGAAGCATGGAAACTGCTTTCATAAAACCAAAGAATTTTAATTTTAGCTTCTGAAAATGTCAGGTAATGATCACTGCTTATTTTATTTTAAAAAGAAAAATAAAGTGCCTGTACTCACCATGAAGTTGTTAAAGTAAGTGTCACACTTTAAACATTGGGAGGGGTGCTGATATTGCACACCCGTGAGTACCCCCCAAAAAAGCACTTATAATGCTTAATAATAATAATATACTATATCTGCAAGTACTAGGCAGTCATTTTTAATGATTTCAAGGCAGTTTTACAGACATTTCACTCACCGAGCAAAACTCAATATTAATTTAACCAAAATAGCCTTTGAATTCCTTTTTTTTTTAAATGATTTTTATTGGTTTTACAAATTTCACCATCATAATACATAATACATACCTTACTTCTTTTAACCTTAATACTTTAGAGTTAAAGTACTTCCCTCCCTCCTTCTTCTGGTTTCTCTACATTTTCTTTATATTTACCCGTTTGTCATGTTTACATTCTATGTGTACTTAACACTATGGAATAATACTATCCAAAATTTCATTCATGTATATCCTTCAATTGTTGTAATATGTTTGTTCGATATTCTTAAACCCAAGACGAATGATTTTTAATAAACATTATGAGGTCTATTTCAGCAAAATAGCCTTTGAATTTCTAAGTTAGGTTACAGTTTTTTAGTGACCCTCATTTGGAGAAGCTGAAAGTTGAAAAATTCAACACGCCCTAACACTACATGTCACTTCGGGTTTTGAGCCGCTAGTCTACTTCTCTTTCTAAAGCAGTTTTGGCACCCGGCCCTTTAGTCTAGATTAGGCCATGGCATGTGGGAGAGTTGACCCCTCCGCCCCCAACAAACAGGGGCCCTAGTCTAGATTTAATTTTGCATGTCTTTCTGACCCTCCCCACTAGAATCTTCAAGCACAGAACTGTTATATAACATATAGATTGGTTCTCAGTGCAGTGTGTTTTTCCTCCACTTCTGTCCTGCTTCACATTACAATGATACCTTGGTTCACAAACTTAATCCGTTCCGGAAGCCTGTTCCAAAACCAAAGCATTCCAAAACCAAGGCGCCTTTTCCCATAGAAAGTAATGCAAAATGGATTAATCCGTTCCAGACTTTTAAAAACAACCTCTAAAACAGCAATTCAACGTGAATTTTACACTCTAACGAGACTATTGATCCATAAAATGAAAGCAATAAACAATGTACTGCAGTCACACAATCAATCAAACAGTAGCTGAACTGGGTTCCACACAGTCACAAAAACAAAACAAAAAGAGCCGCAAAAACAAAAACACAAAATAAATAGCAAAAACAGACAGACCTCAGCGTAACACTCAAAACGGAAGTGTGGCACTCAAAATGGAAGTGTGGAACTCAAATTGGAAGCGTGGCGCTCAAAACGGAGCACGTTCGGCTTCCAAAAATAGTTCACAAACCGGAACACTTACTTCTGGTTTTGCAGTGTTTGGGTTCCAAGTTGTTTGAGTACCAAGGCGTTTGAGAACCAAGATACCACTGTATTGCCTGCTGGGAGGGGAGCAAGGCATAACATGCTGATAACATGCAATGGGTAGTGTTAAACCAGGTGTTAGGAGAAATAAAGGGAAAGAAGGTTCCTTTGCCCTTCGGCCAAAGGAAAACATCCTGCCTTTCCACTGTCGCCCAAATCTCTTCCCTTGTTGTCCTTTATTGTGGAGTCTGGTCCAAACGCCTCCCAGTTATTCTTAACCTTGTTTAAATATCAGCACAAGAGTTAAGAAACGTGAGACATGAGGCTGGTTCAAGCATCAGCTGATTCTACTCATTAATTTCCAACATAAATCATATTCCCGCTTTTTAAAGCAGCAAGGGTGATAAAGCACACAGTAAAAGGGAACGGAGGGAAGGAGACAGAGGGAGATCAAAATGTTTGAAGAGAC